ATGGTTTGAATGTGATTGTGATTATGTTATTGGCCAAATTAGTAATAAGCAATTAAGGAGAGGAAAGTAACGAGTATGTGATTACACTTGTGGTTAGTATAGGATGCCACCAAAGAGGAATAATAATTATAACGGAGTCGGTCCGAGTAGGACTACCATGAATAGGGAGGAGTAATTAAAGGCGTTGCTTAGATAGCGACAGAATATGTAATGTAATGTATGATAATAGAACGAAGTAAATTTCGAGGGTAGAATTTTTGTAAGAAAGGGAGGATGTAATATCCGTAACCCAAAATCCTTCTTAAATGTAAGTATATTGTAAATATATTTTATGCAATTAATAAAAATATGTTTATTAAATGTGAGGAATAAAGGTTTAAACTTTTATTAAAAAAGAAATAAACATGAGTAAGATTAAAAGAAAAGGTTAATAGAATGATTAAAACTTGAATTAGAGATTGGTATCCTTAATTGATATGGTTATATTTTAACCTAGGGATGCAATACAAAACCTAGGGGCATAATTACAAAAATTAAAGGTTTAGGTACTTGATTAAAATGATTAAGCAACTTTAGGAACTTAAATTACCCTTGGAAAAGGTATAGGATAAGGGCTAAATTAAGAGAAATTATGAAGTTATAGATTGAAATTGGAGGGGCCAAGTACAAAGATTAAAAGTTTAGGGGCTAAGGTGTAAAGTGTCAATCTTTTAGGGGACTTATTAATTGATTATAAAAGGCAAATTTTGGCTATAGAGTTCTAAAAATTTTGAGAGAAAAGGAGAAGAAGAGAGGAGGAAAAGAGGGAAGAAACAAGAGAAAATATCTAAGGAAAAAAAGGAAGAAGAGAGGGAAGAAAAAGAAAATTTAGAAGTCATAAGTGATCAAGTAACCATAAAGGAGGAACTACATCAACCAAGAAGAAAATCATTCAACCACCACTCCAAACCACTTTATTTAGCCTAGAAACATCCTAAAACAACTTTAAAATTAGATTAGAAGATCAAACAAAGAAGGAGGAAAACTTACTATTTGGGTCAAAATTATTGGAAAAAAGAGGAGGAAGAAACGATGAGAGTTGGGAAAACTTCAAGTGAGGTAAGTGTAATCCTCACTACACCGTAAAAAAAATTAGGATTTTGATGTACAATTGATGTTAAATTGAAGTTATATTTCTTGAGGTTTGATGGTTTAATTATTAGAGATACTATGTTGTTGTTCGATTTTTATGGTTGTATTGGTGAATATGCATTTGTGATGCTAGAATTGTGATGATTGGATGTTTAATTGGACTACATGAATGAGTTTTGAGGTTGTCCTTGTTCTTAGAACAATGTGGTTGATTAACCTTAAACATGAATAAACAAGTGCTTTTAAGACTTATTATGTGCAAGGTGTTTGATAATATGCCTTAAAGGTGTTAATAGTATTGAGTTGGAAAACTTGAAACTTGGTCACTTTGTTAGTGAATTTCAGCTAAGAATGAAGTTTTTGTTGCTTGATTAACTCAACCTACTTGATGTTAAAATGATGAAAAACATATTAGGTTAAGAGGTTAGAGGTGAAAAATTGAGGTAAATTGATGAAATGAAAGTTATCCTTCCACTAGCCTAGCTTTGGCCAAGAATAGGAAACAAAGAAATAAGAGGTTAATGTTAATTTTGAAGTTTAGAGGTATGAAATGGAATGAAAAATGATTGTAATCATGTGAAAAATGGATGGGTTATATTTCTTAAGCAATTCGGTCATTTTTTATTTAAGGAATGATTTATGTTCATTATTTATACATGTTTGCATGCATACTTATTTTATGTGGAACATGTAGTTGATATATTATTTATGTTACATGCTCTTGAGGATTTAAAAGTATGAATGTTGAGGTTTATTTTAATGCAATGCATTTATATTTAAATGTATTTACACATCATAATCATAAAAAAGATTTTACATTCATAATTTTGATGAAAGAAAAAAGAAAAGGAAAGGTAAAAGAATGCATTTTAATGCATTTGCATATCATAACCATGAAAAGGATTTTTCTTCATGGTTTTCCTGAAAAGGAAAATGACATGTTTTCAAAAAGGAATGGCTAGGTACCTTCTTTAGATTATGGGAGAGGAATGATCACCCTCTCTTTAGGGACGAAAGGAAAAAGAAAAGGAAAGGTAAAGGAATGCATTTCAATACATTTGCATACCATAACCATGAAAGGATTTTTCTTCATGGTTTTTATGAAAATGAAAAAGAAAATGACATGTTTTTCAAAAAGGAATGGCTAAGTATGTTCTTGTGGTTAGGGGAGAGGAATGATCACCCTCTCTTGAGGAAAATGGCATGTTAAGGGAATGATCTAGTGTATACTCTTAGCATGCAAATAAAAATGAGGACATGCCAATGGAATGATCCGGTGTATATTCTTAGTAAGTGAAGGAAAATGAGGATACGCTAAGGGAATAATCTAGTGTGTACTCTTAACATGTGAAGAAAAATATTATGGGAAGGTATCTAATGCTTTTGTGAAGTTTTCACAATTGGATGTTTTAAAAAATGGTTGATTATATACACAATCGGCGAGGTGCATATGAAGAGGAAATTGAATTTCAAAAGACACGAAAATAATTTTTAAATGCATCACGTAGATTACATGCATTGCATGGATTACATTTATTTAACATTGCTCACCTTTGTTTCTTATGGTGTAGGAGAAAATAAAGATGAATAAGGACTCGTTGTCGAGAAATATTGAAGACTCGTCATGTGTGTGCTTACTATGTAAAATGAGTGCGAAAACTTAACTTTGCTTAACTTAATTTTTAGTTATGTATAGTGGTGATAAGTTAAGCAAAAATGGTTTGTATTATTACGGGGTATGGTTTGGATGTTAAGTTTAATATGGTGCTAAAGATTGTTTAGTTATATAACTTGGTAAATTAATTGATCACTTGACTAATTAATATAGTTTAGATGAACAAATTGGCTATGGAAATGAATTAACCGAAAGTAGAATGAAGGTAACAACTAAATGGTTACTTAATGTACATAATTTAGTAACTAATGAATTAATGGTGTGACAAAAAAGGTAAGTAAGGTTAAGTCATAAAGTGAAATTAATAATTAAGGAATAAATGTATTTAATGGGTTAGTTCGAAATGAATTAAGAACCAAAGTTTTGTAAGTCCAAAAAATGTTTTAAGTGGCCAAAATATTAGTTAACGGTCTAAATGAATTTCTTAAATGCTTTATTGAATTTTTGCTGTAATTTCCTAGCCTATGGAAATTTTATATATATATATATATATATATATATATATATAAATAAATAATGGGCATTAAATCTTGATTTAGTGATTAGTATTCATGGATTATTTTCTAGGTAGATGCAATACATGATAATTCAATTATTTTTTAAATAAAATAATATCAAATAATCCCACCTTATTGTGTGGAATATTTGAAAAGGAAATATTCTTAAATTGAATTTTATATGAATTTCAAAAAAATTAAGAAAAATAAAAAACATGGTTCTACTTATTTTAATCTAAGGTATTTTATTTAAATGATTAATTTGGATTTCAAGGATATGAATTTTTAACCAAAATATATCATTTAATAGTTCTATACATAGTATAGGAATATCAATTGAAGTTAGTTGAATATTTAAAAAATTTTATACCTAAGTTTTACTTAATGTGGACCTATTATATCATATTAATTACGAATCTCATACGAAAACATGCACTTTGCTAAGAATTTGAGAATATTAAAAAAGGAGACTTGTTGATTTGCATTCATTGCATTTTGAATGTAAATTAACAACGAAAATATCATCGACCTATCTAGGTCCTAGGTCAAGGATGTTATAGTTTAAGTAAATATATTTGGAAAATCAGCATAAAAAAATCAAGAGCTATGCTAATAAACTTAGCAAGGCTATTAAAAGGCGTTTGGAGCTAGGGCTATAGATGTAGCAGGCAACCGATATACAAGTTAATAGAGATTGCACGATTGCTGGAATTGGTAGTGTTGTAATAATGTACAACTTTTATTTTAAAATTCAATCTTAAATAGATAAAAAGTAATGTCAAATATTAAGAAAATATATAGAAAAAACGATTGTCTTGGTTTGGATAAAATCAATATTCAATTCTCGGTATTTATAGATAACTAGTCATAATTATCTTTTAATAGTAACAAATATGGATTAATTTAGTTATAAATATATACATATTGGTAGATTATGATATTAAAATAAGACTCAGTGTATATTTCACTAACCTAATGGCTCATCTCTATTCTTCAAGATTTTTTCTTAATATATTTTCGTAATATAAGATTACTCGTACATAAAAGGCATGAGAGCAAACCCTTTTTTTTTTTTTTTTTTCAACCTCACAAAAATAAACATGGAAGAAAGGAATTAACTTTTAATATTAGAGTAGAATTGAATAATTAACACAAAAACAAAACATAACCAAAAGGCGACTGTCTAAAAGCAAACCTCTCAATTAATAGTAGATGTTTAAGGGATGGGTGTAGAACAGGGGACTAGTGAAATATTGATGATTAGATTAGCATGGAACATTTTAGCTGGGAGAATGAATCTAAACAAATGTCTAAACAAATTGAAAGTTTAGGAAATCATGAAAAGAAACCCTAAACCCATTAAAAAAAAGCCCAAAAATACAGCGGCAAACAAAATTGATGACAGCCCAAATTGGCATTGGACAGGAACTCTAAAACCCAAAAGAGATTTTGTCGGACACTTTTTAACAAAACAAAAGGAGGCTAGCAGTAGCAGCTCTTACCAAAGATCAGTCAAGAAACATATTAGCAACCGTGATTACTGATTAGAGGGGAAAAGTATTTTTTCTTTCCCCGTCTCTTCGAATTATTCTTATTCTCTGCTTATGTTTATTTATTCTATGAATTCTTACAACGTCTTTTGAGTTGCTCAGGTTGTCTGAAGACCAATACTTGTTTTTGGTTATAAAGAAACTCAAATGGCTATAAATTCCAGCAAAGATGGGCTTGAAGGTGACAACACTCTCCAGTCTATCTGCTACAACCGTGGTTCACTTCAGCTTCTTGATCAGGTCTTTCTCTCTCTCAATCTATATCTATGTTGATTCTTACTTTCTTAGGACTTCTTTATTGATTAGTACAATATCTCATGATAATAAAGTTTATTGTTGTTTTCACAGAGAAAGCTTCCTCTGGAGACTACTTACTTGGATATCAAAGATGCTTCTGATGGATGGTATCATCATATCTTAAGCCCCTTTTGTTTTAATTTTCTCAATATGATTTATTTATTTATTTTATTATTATTATTATTATTTGAGTGAATGGTTTATTTGTTTTAGAAATGAATTGGGTTGGGTTGTTATGAAAATGGGGGACATAGCAATAAATTTGTGCATTACTTTATTTTCTTGTCAATTTTTGCAATTTAATTGGGATTTTTGAATTTGTAAGCAATTCTTCACATAATCTATCAGGTCTGCCATACGGGAGATGGTAGTCCGAGGGGCGCCTGCCATTGCTATTGCAGCAGCACTTTCTCTTGCTGTTGAAGTGTCTAATTTGGAGAGTTTTAATGGGAAACCAGATGAAGCTGCTTCTTTCCTTGCTGAGAAACTGGATTATCTTGTTTCGAGGTAATCATTGCACTTGAATCTGACACCGTGCTTGTTGTCTGTGTGTTTGTATTGATTGTTTGTTTGAATGGTTGCTGAACCGAGTAATCTTTCCTATAGATGGTTAAACTAGGTGCTTGGCTGGGCAGATTGTGATTAATGCCATTTCTTGGATTTTTATTGTGATGTAGCTGATTACAGGATCATCTCACATATTTTTCTTTCAGCCGACCAACTGCAGTCAATCTTTCAGATGCTGCAATGAAACTTAAAGAAGTTATATCCAAAGCTACTGCAGCTGCTTCTGACTGTCAGAGAGTCTTTCAGGTAATATAACTCTGTATAGTAACTTTTCAATCTTTACGTTGTTAATCACTTGCAGTTGGTCTGAAATCTATTGTCAATGAGATGAACTTGGTCAGAATTGGGGTTTACTCAGTTGGCGAAGTCTCAATAGCTAGACTCCAATTACCTTCTCTCTTTTGTTTTAACTTTGTGTTGTAGAAAATTCAACTGTATTCTTACCTACTTTTCGTAATGCTTGCTTCCAATCTTTAATCCTATAGGCTTACATAGAAGCAGCTGAAATTATGCTCAAAGATGATGTTGCTTCAAACAAAGCGATTGGTTCATTTGGAGCAAGGTTTATTCAGAACCAACTGAAAGAATCTACAAAGCTCTGTGTTTTGACTCATTGCAACACGGGCAGGTACCCTATGCATGTCATAGCTTGTTGGTCCTTTCCTTTTTCTACTAACTGTTATTTCTTTTGATTGGTAAAGAAAGATGAGAAAGTGTTTAAACTCAGTGAGTGAATTCATCTTTTGAAAACTGGTTCGTGTTGTTTTTCCAGTCTTGCAACTGCTGGATGTGGTACTGCCTTGGGTGTGATTCGTGCACTTCATAGTGAAGGAGTGCTTGAGAGGGCCTATTGCACAGAAACTCGTCCATTCAATCAGGTAAGTATTTATCTGCATATCTGCTTTTCAGTTATGGTTGCAAACTTGGTTCAACAAAGAGATGTTGCGAGCACTTTCCATGTCAGAATTGAGTGCTTTAGTTTCCTGAAAGCTTCAGAAAGTACAGGAAAGCAGAATAAAAAAATACAAGAAAGTAGATCATGCTGTAAAAAATGCATGCAATGCCTTTTTTATTGGCCTGGCTACATGAAAAACTTGGTAAAGACTGCTAGTTAATAAACGGGCTAATATAGGCACCTCTAAAGGTAAATCGGGCGCTTACATGTAGTCCATAGGTGGGTACTGCTGGCAATTTCCACCGCCTGGGTTGGACAAACGATAATATAATATTGAACTGAGCAGGCCAACCATAAGATACTTGAAATATATGGACCATCTCAATGTCCATACCTCTACCACCTTGAAAACTAAGGTTGTAGGACTGGTTCGCTGAAGTACTGACGTGGGCATGGCTGTGACAGTGGGATCCATAAATTTGGTTATCTATTTCCATGCATCTAAATTGCAATAGATTCGTGATTTGGTTTCCATGAACTGTTGGATGATATAAATGGTGAAGGATATTTCCAACTTTACATTTTAGCTGATTATCCCTCCTTTCTATTGTTATTTATTACATTTAAATTTCTAACTGCAGGGATCTAGGCTCACAGCTTTTGAATTGGTACATGAGAAAATACCTGCTACTCTTATAGCAGACTCTGCTGCAGCTGCATTAATGAAAGACAGTAAAGTGAGTGCAGTAGTTGTAGGAGCAGATCGTGTGGCTGCAAATGGTATTGAGTTAGCAGAAAAACAATTCATCTACTTCTGTATCCTAATTCTGCAAGTGTGTTTTACTGATTTCTGCAATGTAATTGTAGGTGACACAGCTAACAAGATCGGAACCTACAGCCTTGCCTTGTGCGCATTGCATCATAACATTCCATTTTATGTCGCTGCACCACTTACTTCCATTGATACGTTCCTTTCTTCGGGAAAAGAAATCATTATAGAGGAAAGATCTCCTAAGGAATTGTTGAACTCACGTGGAGGACTTGGGGAACAAGTTGCTGCATCTGGAATTTCAGTATGGAATCCAGCTTTTGATGTTACCCCTGCAAGCTTGATAAGTGGTATCATAACAGAACAGGTATGAAACATTTTGCAAGTTTGATTGGAAATGATCATGGCATTTGGTGGATTTTGTTCTGACGATTTGCATCTCCGAGCAGGGTGTCATCACAAAGACCGGCACGGACGATTTTGACATAAAAGATTTCATAACGAGGGCTGTCGGCAAGTGTATTGCATAAGAGGCTAATGTAGTGTACTAGGTTTTAGTTATTGATTTGAACAGCTATCTGCCTGCCTGCAAAAGAGTAATGACGACAGACCATCTGATTGTAATAATGGTCGTAATTTGAGTCCATATTCTATGGGGTTTTTTTGGTATTACCTCGGTTTTCAATGGTTATTATTATGAGGCAATAAAGTTTACTGTTTTGGTCGTACCTTAAATTCATGTTCTCGACTTTTGTTTAGGATTTGAGACATCCCGTCTTAAATTCATTCATCTATCTAATGATGAATTGAAGTGTGTTCTGCGTTCATGTAATAAATAGTTTAGATTGTTTGTGCACCCATATTTAGAGAACTGGCCAAAATAATTCTACATGAGCAGACGCAAAACGTAATCGTCTTTTTTTTTTTTTTTTGACAAATGGATGAGCCTAGCTAGTATAATATGTGCGTTGATTAACATTATTCGTCTCATTTAATCACCTAATCTGCTGCTGCTAACCTCCCATACATGTTAGACTTGAACGTCAGGAAGAAAAAAGAAAAACATGTAACTATTGGATTTTGAGAACACCCAAAGCAAGCATATGGCCTGCTCAAGGCCGGGATTGCAACTTGCAAGGGCTATCCTGATATTTTAAAGAGCCTCTGTAACTTGTTCTTGGCTTGATAGTTGACATGTGTGTCTCCACATAATATAATACCCACTAATTTGGTGTTAATTTATTGTATAATTTCAGTAATTTTTACTAAGGGTGAGCAAACGATTCGGTTAATCGAAAACCGAATAGAATTGGATCGAATTATGAATTAAGGAATTTGGTTGGTTTTGAATTTAAAATTATACAATTTAAAACCGAACCGAAAAGCGAAATTATTTCGGTTCGGTTTTTGAAAAAAAAATCTGGTTTGAACCGAAAACCGAAATGAACAATGAAAATTGAAAAATTTGTAATCTAATTCTAAATCCCTAACCTTAACTAGTTGATCGCCTAACACGAACTTCGAGTCCCTTCTCTCACTCTCTCTTTCGACTTTCTTAACACCGAAACCCTGACTAACTCACGCGATCATCGTCCATCAACTCATCTCATCGTCTCATTACCATTGCTCACCGGTTCTCCCTATGTCTTCTTCCCTAATCTCCTTCGGCTTCATTCCCTTCTTCTCCACTCTCCACTCCGGTCCTCCAAGCTCCAGCTTGTTCACCCCTCACAAGTCACAAGTCACAACCCAGGTAACCCTCGTCATCTTCCTCCGATCTTACGGAGTCATGGTCATCCTCATCGATCATACCTTCCCTCTCCTACTCAAGTCGCCTCATCTACTCTTTGTGTCTTCCTTTTCTCGCGAGCGCTCCTAAGGTCGATCTCTTTTATTTTTATTTTTTTTATTTTATTGATAACAATAATGTATTGGGCAAGATTATAGACCATGGCTTATTGTCATTAACTTTGTGATGCTTTGTAATAACTATTTGTGTTGTCAAATTTTGAATTCAATTCAGTGATGCTTTGTAATAACTATTTTTAGATGTTGTTTTGGAGATATGTAAGTGCTTATGTTGTGGTGATATGAACTATATTTTGTACTATGTCATATTGGCATGATTTAATTTTCAACACGGATTAAGAAAAGAAAAATTCATTATGGGGGGGGGGGATGGGCAATGCAAATTATGCAATCGAGTAGCAATGTAGAATAGCATTTTGGGTTGTGTAGGGACTAGTTGAGTCGAGTCCAATTTGGCGGTTGTGCATGGAAATGGTATAGCACGCTATGCCCCTCAATTGGTGTAAATTTTGGACATATAATGTATAAGGAAAGGGAATTATGAGGTTGAAAGTATAGGTTGGATGTATTGCAAGGCTAAAGTCCAATATGATGATGATTGCTAGGGTTGGAAGTTGGAACATGAGAATAAGTATTGAGACATTGTAAGAGAAGGGTAGTAAAGTAGGTGAGTTCAAGATCTATATGTGATTTATTATGAAATAAGACATCCGAGGTTTGTTTTGCTCGATTTTGGGAATAAATTTCTAATTTTTTATTTCGTTATTTGCTCGAATTATGGAGCACAATGGTTTTCTACCGTAGGAGATGCTTTATTAGGCAATTGTTAATTATTTTGAGCGAGTAAGACTAAGGAAGATAGTAGACACTCACCGATTGGAAGGTTGATTATTTTTATGCTTTAGTTGGAGATAAGGCAATCATACATGATGGGGAATGTAATAAATTGTGAAATATGTATATGTCATAGTTAGAGTTTGAATGAAATATGTATATTATTTATCTCTATCTCTTGCGTGAAATATGTATATGTCATAGTTAGATTTTGAATGAAATGTGTATATTATTCATCTCTCGTCTCTTGCTCCCTACCTCCTCCTAATAGGTAGTGGAATGGAAGTACTATAGTCATTATATGTTTAGATGTCTACTCAAGTGGATATTGTTTATATGATCCTTATTAGCATTATTTTTTTTTAATCTAATAATTCGAGATAACACACCGCAGTTATAGATAATATATTGACTTGTACATTGATACCGATAATCTGAATAATTCAAGATACACTAGGGCATAACTTGCTTTGGTGTCTAAAATAAGTTGCTATGAGATTACTTGGCTTTGAACAATTCAAAGTAACCGGTTGAATGTCCTTCCAAATTTTTGTTTTCAAGTTTCCAACGGAACTAGCGAGTTACAATTTGAAGCAATCTAATAGTCAATGGGTAGATGGTGTAGAATTACAACTTAACATTAGTTTGTCTTACAATTACTAACTGAAACAATCTAATAGTAGCTTTAAACGCATTAGTTTTTCTTAACTTATCATCATTCATGGATAATTTCTCTTTATTTCAAGCTTTCTTGCTTGTAGTAATAGAGTTGTGAAAATCTCATTGTTTTGTTATGGATTATGAACTGGTTGCTAAAGAAATCATCATTGCCTTATTTATTTCTAGATAATCTTGAGCTTTCTAGATAATTTGGCCCTAGACATAAATTTTGCAATTGATGAGATATAAGGAAACATGTTTAAAAAAATGGTTGCTTTATAGTTGCATAGGCCACTTTGGTAATAACTAGATCAATAAATAGATTTATAGTAGGATAGCATGTAATAGCTATTTTTTTATATTATTATTTTGGCCTAAAGAGTGTGAAGCTTAATACTAGTTTTCATTGTTGTTTATATAGATGTCGCAATCCCAATCCAAAGAGATGAATTATGAACATGTAGGTTCAAGCAATCCCAATCCACAATCAAGTATAGCTCTAAGTAACACTCAAGAAGATGGCAAAGGAAAGAAAAGGAAACCAATGAAGCCAAGATTGATGGTGTGGGACAATTTCATAAAGTTTGAAGATGATAAAAAAGACATGAAGGCTAAATGCAACTATTGTGATAAGGTATTTGCTTGTAATCCTTCAAAAAATGGGACAACCTTACTTAAGTCTCATGTTTTGACTTACGAAAAAAACCCTTATAGTTGCATTGACTCTACGCAAACTCAATTAGACCTTAGAAGGCTTAAAGTAGGAGAAAACACTCTTAGCATATAGAAGTTTAATCAAAATGTTAGTAGAAAAGATTTAGCTAAAATGATCATTCTAGATGAACTTCCATTTAAGCATATAAAACGCAGGGGGTTCAAAACATTTTTGTCTAATATGCAACCTAGATTCAAACTTCCATCTTGTGTTACGATTTTAAGAGATTGCTATCAACTTGATTTAGATGAGAAAATAAAGTTAAAGCAATTTTTGAACAAAATAGTCAAAGAATTTGCTACGGACACATGGACATTTATTTAAAGAATCAATTACATGATTTAACGGCTCATTTTATTGATAATGATTGGAAGTTACATAAAAAGGTCTTGAATTTTTATCCAATTGATAGTCATAAGGGAGTAGATTTAGGTATTGTCATGGAGAAATGCTTGATTTATTGGGGAATTGATAAAGTTTTTAGTGTTATGGTTGACAATGCAAGTTCGAATGATGTGACAATTAGGCACTTAAAAGATGTGATTAAGAATTGATTTTATAGCATCTTAGATGGAGAATTCATTCATATGAGGTGTATGACACATATTTTGAATCTAGTTGTTAATGGATTGAAATATTTCAATCTTTCAGTCATTCGTATTCGATTGTTCGTTAGGTTTGTAAGGCAATCTCTAGCTAGGTTCGAGAAGATTTAAGGAATGCATTCAACTTGAGAAAATTGATTCTAAGAGTTTGTTACACCTAGATGTCATAACTAGGTAGAATTCAATATATTTGATGTTAGAATCGATCGTAAAGTTTAAGAGAGCTTTTAAGAGATATTGGTAAATTAATCCTTTATATTGGAGTAGATTTGAAGTAGAGCATGGTGATAATGTTTGAGTTTTTCACATGTGACTTCAAATATTTATTTTAAAGAGATTTATGCACTCAAACATATTTGAAAAAAAATGACAATGAAGTGGGGATTTGGATGATTTTGCATTGACTAATAAAATAAAAGAAAAATTTGAGAAGTATTAGGGGGATATTAAGAAAATAAACAAGTTAATTTATATTGCGACAATACTTGATCATAGGAATAAACTTGTATTTATTGAATTTTCAATCAAGGAATTGTATGGCGATTTAGAGGGTCAAAATATGCCAAATATTTTTAAGGAATCTATATATGCCATGAATGATTTCTATTCTTATTTGTCAACATCTCAAGATGAAATTGGCCAAGGTAGTGGGAGTCGAGAAATAGATATGGATTTTGCAAATGAAGAAATGATTGATGAAGAAGAAAATTGAGTAAAAATGAAGATAATGATGCGTTTTGAAAAATACAAGCTGTGATATTAGAGGTGGAGGAAATAAAACAGAGTTGGATAAATATCTTGGTAAAGGTGCTAAAAATAATAGTATCGATTTTAATATTTTAGAGTGGTGGAAAACCAATTCTCCTTGATTTTCCATCCTTTCACAAATTGCTAGGGATGTATTAGC